AGAGAAGGAGGTGGTGGAGGAGGAGGAGGAGGAGGAGGAGAGGTTGTGCCGCCGCCGCCACCGTTTCTCTTTGTCGTGTGTGTGCGTGTTTCGAGAGGTTAGAAACGCCACGGGATCATGGATCTGCTTTGCTGCGAGAACACGGCGGTCGAGCGCAGAGCTTACGCCGATCCTGCCGTACTTGGCGACGACCGTGTGTTGCAGAATCTTCTGAAAACCGAGGAAAGATACGCACCCAGCAGTTCTTACTTCGAGTGCGTGCAGAGGGACATCTCGCCGCTCATGCGCAAGATCGTCGCGGAGTGGATGTTGGAGGTGAGCAACTGTTTCCGGTCCACGTGTCGCCCTTGAATTTTCCAAAATTTAACCATTAACCGAACCTTATCGCCGCTCCTACCATCGCGGCTAGATACGTTACGTTGTTTTTTACGCGTCTCGATGAAATTAATAACACGATCGATGCTACTTTGCGGGAAATCGTTGGTGGAAAAGTCGAAGGAGTCTGGCGACTTTTTCGATAGTCGAAAGGGTCTTATATCGCGATAATTTCCATTCGTTTTAACGAGATTCGTTTTACGCTGTCACGTAGAATGTGGTAGGTTTCGATGACTCGTTAAGTTATTAAATCGCTGTGCAGTGAAAACGAAAAAGAATTACACGTTATTATATATCGGTTATCGTTGTCATTTTATACGGCCTACCAGTAAACACTCGCGTTACGTAAAAGTTGGCAATAATCTCTCTCGCACCAACCATTTCCACGCAACTATTTATTAACAATGTATCGACATAATATGTACCGATAGCATTATCGCTTATGTTATACGTAGAGGCATTAATAAGCTACGATCAATCTCGTTTTAAAGTTCCATCTGCGAATACTTAAATGTCACGACGTCGAGCAGTCGATATACCAGTAGGATTTCGTTTGTCATCGAGAACATTAACAGGCCGTAACGCGTAGAGGCGTAGAGTGGTCGAGGTTTTTCATTCGAAAGAGATCGCGTGACGAGGAATTCTTTGAATCCAGGGTGTCACAGCCGAGGGAACCTCGTTAGCGTCGAACAGATCGAACAGAAAATTCCGTTATATCGGTGCGTTTGGGTAGCGCATGGAAAGCTCGCGGAACGTAACGTTCGTGACTTATTTTCGGCAGCGGTGAGCGCGCGAGAGAGAGAAAGAGAGAGAGAGAGAGAGAGACGTCCGATGACGTCGAACGCGCGTCCGGGGTCCCTTTAAAATTTAAAAAACACGCTTGTTGCGTAGGTACGCAACGGCTTTTGGCTGGCGGGGCGCTCTCGCAATCTTTTACACCGTCATTGACGAGCGGTCGAATCATGTCAGTGGGATCACCGCGTTACGTCACCTGTGCGTTACCAAATGCGTATCGATGCGGACAAACACGACATTTGCAAATCCGGAGATTCGAATCTTGCCGAGAACCTTCCTTTTTCAGCCAAATGTGGAATCGAGTTAAACTTTCGTAGAGGAAATTTCAAATACTCGAGCAGAGGATTCTTAATGCAATTCCCTAGATAAATCTTGGTCGAATCTTATGGCAATTTACGAATGATAATTCTCTGTGTAAACCTTGCGCTCGTATTGCGAAAATTCGTATAAATTGAAATATCTAAAGAATTAATATGTAATTATATGGATTAATTATATCGATCAATATACAATATAGTTAACATAGATAGTCGAATCGTGTCACGGAATATTATAGGATTAAACTGTTGGATATTGTAATGGAAAGGTGCGAGATATTAGCCAAAACGAAAATGAAGGTGAACGTCGTCCTAGATGTTTGTCGCGTAATCGTATTGGTCGGTAGACTTCCTTCGACGGCTATTATAACGAATTCCCGCTTCCGGATCGAATCGTAAGATTCCAAGATTAATTTTTCCTTCGAACGCGACTCTGGCTCGCTGACAATGTAGTCTTCGTAGCTCTCGGTTACATTTAAATTTCTGCTCTTCGAGTCGAACGGAAATATCTGTGTTTCTCGGCGATATCGTTTGCTCTATCTGGCGACAAAGTATCTTTTTCTTTTCTTCTTTTTTTTCCGCTCATGACTAACGTAACGGTAATCATTTCATTGTTCGGTATCCTGGTTGATCATTTGGTCGGTTCGGCTTCGAATTTCCTACGCATACATATGTATACGAGATTCGACTGAATTTGTTCCACGATCAACGACGATCGCTTTCTTTTAGTTAGCTGGTAAGAGACGTTGACCGTCTCTTTTGATCGTTGAAAAGCGAAACATTGTAACACACGACGTCCTTTCATTGGCACATTGATATCGTTTTAAAGAAATAAATCCGAACTCGTTAAATTTTGCAAATATCGTACGTTATCGAACGTTATATTGCAAAGCGTGTTCAGTAACGAAAGTTTCGAAATTTAACGGAATAAAGTTTCGCAATTTTGAATTTTTTCCACGTTGAATTTGTCATATTTTTTAACGCTAGAATTAAACGAATATCAGAGTTATCTAAAATATTTGACTAGATTCGATTGGACGAGGAAATCGAGCAACTGAAAATCAGAAATCCGCACGATCAAAATCCTTAGGCTTTCTAATGATGTAACGCTAGTTAAATTAGAAATCGTTGATAATCACCGGTATCCAGGCCACGATTAACCCTCCGTTGTCACGTTTCGTCACGAAATTACACCGAGATATTTAAAATCTCGGTTGTATAACTCATTTTATAAATACCGATAAGAAGGACCTATCTAATCTATAAGTCTATAAATCTTAACTCCTGATGCAATGTACATACATTCGTCGATTTTGACTTTCAATTCGTTCCGATATTATTGCTAGAAGATCCCGTAACGTTAGAAATCGATTGTTCCATTCGAATACGATCGTCGTACATTGCACAAAAGTGTCCGATTCTATTTGAAGGTAACTTTCGACAGCGTCTCGAGTGCGTTCTAATCTAATATAAAAACTTGCGATTTCACTTTTTATCAATTTACAAGTGGCGCGAATAGCGCCAAGCACTCGAGGTACTTACACTATGCTTATAATCAGAACTATAAATGTCAAATACTTACTAATTGCAGATTCGTTAAATACTCTCGCACCCAAGTTTCCGCTACGAGATATTTGGCAATTTGGTAAACGTAAAATATTACAATTTACCGTAGTAAACGTCGAATGTTTCGTGAGATTTGGCGAACGTTAAACTTATCCATAGTAATACGATTAACGCTAATGTTAACGCTACTGTTACAAGCATCGAACAATCGCAAATTCGCTAACGCAATTTGAAAACAAAGTTTACTTAATCTACTTTTCTTACTTCCATCTTTCCATCTTTCCGTCTTTAAATCTCGCATCGTCTTTAAATGCAGCAAACTGACTGCACGATTTAATTGGAAGAAAGTAAGTTACGTCGGAAGAATAATAAATAAGACGCGAACCAGCAAAGGCATGGATCGGTGGGAAATTTAAATCTGTCGATTCTCAAGGTGATTCGATAATCGTGGATCGTTGGCGTTAAGATATTAATCGTATTTAAATGTCCTTGGAATGTTCCTCGAACGATCCGAAGTCTCTTAACCAGGCCGATTTCCTGCGATTCGCGGTTCAAGGTCCGGTTTATTCAGCTGCCGATTGATTTTTTTGCACGATTAATTACAACGATCAGGAGGTTTGTAAAGTCGGCCTTGAATCATACGGGTACGTCGGGAACGTGACCGGACTGGATCGTGTCGTACACGCGTGTCGAAGTCCACCGCTTTGAATTCTTTGGTATTAGAGGCACTCGCGAACGATTCATTCGGTCCAAATTCATTCGACGTTGTCCTTTCGCTTCGTTCTCGCGTATCTCAGGCGTATTTCACACGGAGGCGAGTCTCTGCTAATCGGCCGATCGCTAAACTCGAGAAATCTCGCGAAGAAAAAATCTCGATTTCGTCGGAAGAATCGCAGAATCTCGTGCAACGAAATCATCGGTTTAGGGTTAAAGGTCGCCGACGTTTCAATTTGAAATCCCGTTAAATATGCAAATTTGTTTCTGTTTATACTCTTCCGCTTAATCTTCGCGGCTTTGATGTGCTAATAAGAGTTTGGTTGTCTCGACCATCGTGTTTCTTGAACGAAATCCTTTTAGAATGGAAACGTTAATTGTTGTAGTTGGGAATAAATTACCATGGTAACCTAATTGGTTCCATGTTATCAGTATCGGTTCGAATAATTTGTAAATGCAACGCGTTAAATTCAACCTACATGCTGCGACAGAAGGCGGGATAAGAAAAACGTAGAATATAGAACGATATAACGGAACCGATTTAATTTTAAATCCCAACATTATTCACGACAGAGATACTTGTTGGCGTCGACGATTCGTTAGTTAAAACGAAGCGTTTATTCGGTAGTCAAAAATATTACAACGTTGGATCAAGGTTTCCTCGATGAACGTGAAATTATAAAATTTTAAATGCAAAATATCGAAATTCATTTAAATGTGTAAAGATGTGCTAAACGCGCTTATCGTTTTATCGTTTTCCACGACTATCGGTATCAGCGACAAACTTTACGTCCGATAGCTATTCAATACGATCCATGACCTATTCTAATGAATAAGATCTGTTAAAATCACAAACGCTCGAATATTTTCAAAGGTCGGAACATCTATAGATCGCAAACAGTCCCATTGAACTCTAAAAGAATCTTGGCTGACCCCTGCAACGTCAAACGCGTTTCCTTTCTTCTCTTTGTCGGATCTGTATCGAAGGACGGATTAAAGTTTATCGCAGCAGATAACCAACGTAGAAACCTCTCTATCTTCTGCCACCACTTGTATATAGTATATAGGAATGTTTGACGATCGGCGAACAGTTGTTAGAAGCCGTTGCCTAAAGCCTGATAGGGCAATACAAAGCGTTGTCCGGAAAGTTCGCGTGTGGTATCGATAACTCGTGTTCCATAAGAGATAACGATAATCCGTACGACGTTGTGCACGCGTATCGTGCAACGATTTGCAGCACGATCGTACGAAGAAACGATCTTCTAATTACAAACAGTGACGTTTATTTTTTTTATTAAGTTCTATACATTTCATTTTCGTGGTATCGAACGTTCTTCGTAGCGAGGCGAAAGGAAGGCGTTCAAGGAAGTCTGATAATTGGTGCGACAGTTTCCACAAGGAGAGAATGACAGGCAAGATTATGAAATGCAAGTAGTATGGAATTTTCTGCGTTTGGACGCGAATTTTCGCAAAACGGTTCGTTAAACTAATTATCTGCGGTGGCGAGGGCTAACGGATGACCGTCCGGCAGATATACAGACGAGTTTGTTGGCCCACGGTTTTTATCGGCTAGCCTTCTCCGCGTTCCTTAATTCCAGCTCGAAACGTGTTGCCCGTTCGAACGAGAGATATCGAGCCCCAATTCGGCCAAACTTTCTTTAATATTTGAACAGATGCGCGATGTAATTATCCAAAGCCTTTTCTCTTAATTCTTCTCCTTTGCAACGGCCGATCGAGCGGAATGGTTCCGCCTTCTTCTTTTCAATGCACGAAATTTGCTCGCTCCATTGTCTCCCACTGCCGTGTAACTTCATTTAGCTCGAATAATAGGACTTTTTTATATTCGTAAGCGTCGTAATTTTTGTGCGATTCTTTTCGAATAAATTCGTACGAGTTTCTTTACTTTACACTGTAGATTAAAATTTGACCAACGGTGTGCATAGCGAACTGAAAACGCATCTGCGCGACACACTTTGTGCCTCGAACGTACAAAAACGCCGCCATAAATCGCCACCCCAGAAAGGATATCGGTAAGCTAGGTCGATTCGTAGAAGCGACCACCTTCGAAACTCGAAAAATCCCAAGTCTTTGAAAGAAATATCGCTTCGACTATCCACGATGATTTACAGGAATCAAAAGTAATTAGGCAGCGAGCGAGAAAAAGGGCTCGGTAGATAAAAATTAACTTGAAGAGATAACAATGATGTTTTTGATGAGAAAAGAAATACAATTTTTAGTTGCTTATTGAATACGATTTTAGACGCTCTTTCGACGTCGATGTAATTCAAAGAAACTTTATCTCGTTAAATCGAGGTGGAGAACAGCGCGGTTCATCCCCGTTGAAAAGAAATCGCCGTCCAAAAGAATCTTCCAGTCTGAGATGTAAATTACGACCGAGTGATACGTAATTCAAAGAAAGTAACCGCAAAAGCGTCACAGATTGTAATAGCATTTCGTCGAATCGAATTATTCTAATTTGATCAGACTCTACAAGCTTTCATTTTGTTTCATTTTATCGGTAGATCTTTCCAAGGGAAAAAGTCAGTTTCGAAATTGATCGATCTATCTTCCACTAAACATCGTCTTCTCTAAATAATAATTAAATATTTATTTTCTTATCTGCCAGTACATCCAGAGCGGAGTATTCTGTTCGAATAAATTTTAATTCGTAACCTTCCACTCGCTCTAAATATTCCCATACGATTCTCACATTACTTATTCCGCGTACGTATAATGGATTTCGATTAAAACGATCTAAACTCTGTCTTATCAATACGCTTCGTAATGCTCCCACGTTCTCCGAAGTTCTAACCTCGACTGGCCCAAACGTAATCTTCCACGGATCTGAAGCAAAAAGGCATCCTTTCATGCCGCTAATTGAACCTACAGTCATTAAAACTTACACCGCGAAATTTTTGCCTTTTTTTTTTTTGCAGCCTCGTAACGCGTTTAATCGATGATGGGACACAGACAATTATTTCGTTAAACCGGTAGTACTAATTGGTCGTGGTATACGCACGACGAAGCGCAATTAGAAGAAGGGGTGTTCGAAAAGGGTGGAATCGTCGGTCACGCTCAATAAGTCGTGACGCAACGACGATTCGTACGGCTGCGCTTAAACCGGTAGGAAAGCAACCGGTGGGACTTCGGTGCTGGAAAATTTCGGTCAACCTCCGTTCCGGTAGTGCGCGGGGACACGGTACAAGTAATTTTTGTAAGCGATATCGTTAACTCGTTAACTTAATTTGACAAAAGAGGACGAAACTCTGCGCGAGAAGTAAAATTTACCGATATAAAGGTAACGACGCGTTAAAACACGGTGATTCTGTAAGAAAATGAATCGTTTCGTCTCGAGCATCGTCGGCGATCTGCACTAAGAATCAACACGTTCTTCTCGATCGATATATTTCGGTATGCAGAATTCGAAATTTTGTTTCTTCGACTCGTAGTTCGTATCTTGCTACCTGTATCTCGTGTTTTACGTTTGATTTTTCGATTTTGCAGTAATTGCTGTTTGAGGAGTTAACGATATCGACGGAAGCGTCGAAACGACAATCTTTTAACGCAAATGATACCTTTAACAAAATCCGTGTATCGTATCTCGTATCGCTTTGTATCTCGATCCTCGAATTTGCAATAATTGCACTTTGAGAAATTCTCCTGAAGAGGTAACATGTATCTTCAGAAGCGTCGAAACAATCTTTTGATACAAACAATGGCTTTTAAATAAAATGTATTGCATATCTTTTATCAATTTGTATCGTTGCGCGAATCTCTTTAACTTTGCAATAATTGCTTGCAATAATTCATTTTGAGAGTTAACAGTATCGACAGAGGCGTTAAAACGATAATCTTTAACGCAAATGACACCTTTGACAAAATCCGTGTATCGTATCTCGTATCGCTTTGTATTTCGATCCTCGAATTTGCAATAATTGCACGTTGAGAAATTCTCCTGAAGAGGTAACATGTATTCGCAGAAGCGTCGAAACAATCTTTTGATACAAACTATGGCTTTTAGATGAAATGTATTGCATATCTTTTATCAATTTGTATCGTTGCGCGTATCTCTTTAACTTCGCAATAATTGCTTGCAATAATTCATTTTGAGAGTTAGCAGTATCTCTGAGAAAAAAAGAATCGACGAGGTATATCTTCAATACATATTTAATTAGGAAATCTTGCGTAAGTCATATTTTCGATTAGCCCTCGTTACTTAATAGCTAAAAATGAAATGCACGATATAATACGTAATTTTCTCGTTGAACTAACGATCGTTTTTATTTATTCGTACAAGGTTAATCTTATCCGCTTAACGAACGCCGCGAAACTGACCGAAATCGATGTTTCGTTTATTTCTATTGGACTTTAGACGCAGTGTGTTCGTTTAGCGAAGAATTATTTCAACCCATCGTACTGGAATTTCGTACGACGCCGAAAGCTCGTTATACTCTTCTTCAGCATCGACTGTATCGATTGTATCTTCTCTCTCTCTTCGAGAATGCTTTGAAAACAAAAACCGAGGTCCCCGACCTGTGCCCCAGGGTGATCGATTAGCCAAAGCCACGATGTTAAAATACGAGGAGAGGAAATCCGGTCTGACGTATTCCCTTCTTCTTTTTCTTCTTTTTTCGGCTTTACTGTTATTTTATTAATTTGCCGTTAATTTCCACCAAACTAAACACACCACCAACCTTCTTTCTTTTTTTCTTTCTTTTTCTCTTTTTTTGCTTCTCTGGGAACGAGCTCGAGATTTTTCCTTATAAATTTAGTAGATATGTTAAATCCCTTTCTGATAGAGAATATTCACGATATAATCTCCGATGATAATTTTTCTTACGGAATAACTTTTGAGATTTTACAGAAAAATTTGTTTCGCCGATGTCGAAGAATCTCGACGCATTTTACGTTTTAGCGACATGTGACTGTATCAACCGAAGATACGTAACTGTACTCGCGTTCCACCTAACCTGCATCATCCAGGTATCGATAGTCCCCTAACTTCGTCCAAGCATCACTTGCCATCGCTTTCCTTTGAAACAGCGCGACGGGACAAATTGTCGAGAGCAATCGTTTTCGTGTTTCGTCGCAACGAAACAAGGGACCCTGTCGTGTTGGGTCTAGCCGCGAGCCAAACGAGAGGACACGATTCTAATCTGTTGGTTGATGATCGGTGACAGGTATGCGAGGAGCAGAAGTGCCAGGACGAGGTCTTTCCCCTGTCCATGAACTACGTCGACAGGTTCCTCTCGATCTGCCCTATCAGGAAGTCGCAGCTGCAGCTACTAGGAACTGCCTGTTTGCTTCTCGCCTCGAAATTGCGAGAACCATCGCCGCTGACCGCCGAGGCGCTTGTTTTCTACACAGACAACTCCGTCACCCTGGATGACCTATGGGTAAGTGTTCATAGAATCGCACTGCCTTTCGCTTTTGTTCCCGCTTATTGCTTATATCGGTAAATTCTCTCTTCTCTTACGGTGGTCGAACATTCGCTCACACGTCGATTCTTACAGAGAATTCGCTTCTTCGGATCTCGATTGGGTCACGTTTCGAACTTCGGCGGTCGAAGGGAGGCTTTTGCATTGTTAATTTTTAATTATTGGATTGGAACGACGATTTTATTAATTATTGGATTGGCGATTGGAACGAAAAGCGAAGAATACCGACAATTTATCGCGCGATTTATCGCTCAGTTTCTATAAATTTCTACCTCGATGCTAAGAGCTCTAGCGCTTCGACCATCGATTATATTATAGTTGCGAGATTGAGACTAGAGGAAAAGAACGTCTTAATCAAATGGCAAATATAATGATACAAACGGTAAGAGATTATTGCGTCTAAATAAATAAGTACATAATAACTGCTCACGAAAGTTTAGTCATTTTGGTCGATATACCTTGTTCAGATATCCAAATATCGAGTTATACGTTCTTTCACAACTATTGGCGATAGGAAAAGAGGGAAAATCCTGTTAGTAAACGCTGTCAGCTGCTACCGATAAAACGCTGTGCGTTAATGAAACACACCAGAGCTTATCGTTGATTGCATCTTCTCGATAAGTTTTAGGTAGAGTATTGTCAGGTTTTCGGTGCAAAGTAGTCTGACTGACATCTGTCTACCATTTCTATCCGAGAAAAGTGGTTCCGCGTTCTTTGTCGAATAAAAAAAAAAAAATAAGTTTCGAAGCTTTTTCAATTTTGCGCGGTATCCGAAATTTCTTTTTACCTTGGCAAAAGTTTCCATACGATAGCACTTTGTGAAAGTTTATTTCAATCGTTTAAGAGTCGTTTAAAGAAAAATCGATTCGAGTAGCTATTTGTTTACAGATATTCGAGAGATTAGATTTTTATTAAAATAACAGGTTACATTGGCGATATAAAGTTGTACAACGATTGCACGATACTATCGTGTCTTATGCGATATTTTCGCATAATCTTTCGTCAAAGATAATTTTGGCGTTTTGATAAGTCATTTTAATAAACATTTCGTTATCTACGATTGTCGTCCGCCTGTGATTGAATATGTTTCTTAAAAAAAAAAAAAAAAAAAAAAAAAT